ATCGAGCTGGGCGGTCAATGCGTCGTGCTTGGCGCGGAGGTGCAGGACTTCGTTGCGCAGCGACGTGCGCGGTCTCTTCTTGGCCGTCTTTGTCGTCGGCGCGGCCAGTGTATCCTCGTTGCTCGGAGAAGAGCCAAGCGCATCGGCTGTCATATCGTCGTCAACCTCGAGTAGGCCGAGCCAGTCGTCACAGCCAGCGGCCTCGTCGACCAAGGCCAAGAGGTCCGTGGTCTCCATCCTGGAAAATGCAAAGTAAAGCTGGCCAATCGCATGAAGCCAGGTCATTGAATTGTCTTAACAAGTACATTTGCCTACTCGACGCCTGGTTTGGTCTGTTGGATCAGTGCGCCGTTCGCGATGCACAATAAGACAACTTTATTTGATTTTGGCTCCGCGATGGTCGAGATACCATGCCTCCTCATGACACGCTACGACAAGCATTGCGATGACACCTCATGTATTGTGACAATTCGTACCTGCAGGTAGGAATTGCGTCCTGAATGCTTGTCAAATTGGTACGAATTAGCAGGATCCGCTCGAATTTCACGCAAAACACCATCGTCTAGTTGAAATAGCATTTCGCACTTGCTTTCAGAATATATATACTTTCTAATGCGACCTTGCCGCATGAACTCTACCTATGTCTGACGAGCATAGCGACTACGCGGCAGGCAAGACGCTCTGAAGAGCATCGTAAATAGAGATGCCACTTTCGTCCATGAGCTGCAAAATGCAGTCCGTGTACATGCCAGGGGTCACGTCCGTGATCGTGCTGTCGTCCGTGACCGTCGGCGGCGCAAACCGCGCATATGACGACAGCCACGACGCATGCTCGCCGCGTTGCTGCACAACGATCCTACGGTCGACTGTCAAATGACACGATAAACAAGTTACTATAGACCAGGAGCACTGATTGTCGTGAAAATGACTCGGATCGGACGGATACAAAGCGTCGTCCACGATGGACCGGGTCACAAAGACGACCCGGTCGCTCTCGACAAAGCGTCGCGCGAGCAGTCGGCCGTTCACGGGCGGCATCGCCGTGCCTGCAATCGACGCGAGAAATCGAAAATAGACGCACTCGTCGTCGATGTCAATGTCCTAGCATCGGAGAATACTGTCATACAAGACAATATTGTCCAACACACCTCGTGGATGGTGTAGAGTTCGGGCTGCGGCTTGAACTGCCGTGTGAGCATACCCCACACCGCATCGGCCAGCACAGTAAAGGGATAAGAGTACCCACGGCACTCGACAAAATGAACACAGAGCGCGTCGTCGACCGCTTGCATAAACCGCTTGCGCACGTCGGCGCCGCACGCATCGAGGTCGTGGAGCCCATGGCGGATCCACTCGGTCTCGAGCATGTCGTACTGGTGCTGCATGAGCTTGGCCTTGGCCTCGCGCCGACCGGTCGTGCCCAGCGTCGCCATCTTCCAGG